TAGCATTCTTTCCAGGCTTGAAGACTACTTAACCACATTACTTCTTAGCTCTCAATCCTATTCCTCATCTGTAGTCAATCATATTTAAAAGGCCAGAATAGGAAAAAAAATTGTCCTCATTATTTCCATACCATTCATGTTATCGTAGGAAAGCAGCTGAGTACTTGCTCCACACTGATGTCCTGTGCTCACCTTTCTCTGCCCTTACAGGCCTGCGTAAGTGAAGAGGAACCAGAGGATGGATAAACCTTGCACTCCACCATCAAAGGTGCTGCAGGAAACAGCCCCCTGTGGCCTGGATCTTTGGCAGAGGAAATGCAGGATGGTGAACTCCATTCCATTTTTTTGTTCCTTGTCTTCTTTTCAAATGCAATGAATGTACATCAAAGAATGGCCACACGGCTGGTTTTTAATTCTCCAAGTGCCCTGACGAACAATTCCTACCATAGTCTGCTGGTACTAGCCAAGAAATGGCACAGGCCTAAAGACCTCTGGCAGAACAAGTTCACCAAGAGCCTCTCTCAAGAGATACAGTTGAAGTCGGAGTTGCTTCCTTGCACCATGGATCCGTAAAGGAGGAAGCACTGCGTAACACCTTGGGACATTTCATATGTTCTGTAGTTAGTTTCTTCCCCTTCTCCTTTCCCTTGTTCTGGAAAGAGCCTAAATCCCCTAACACAACTTTGTCTCCTCCCTGCCTGTATAGAACTAGGTGGGGACTATTTACCTGTGAGTTACTTAGGCTTTTTTGGTTTTTAAGTTATAGATGAGAACTCTTCCCTTCTTCCTGCCCATCCAGGACTCCCTTCCTCATTCTCTGCTCTTTAGACAAGGCAGTAGGCATTTATCCTGGATTTCAGCATTGTGACCTAACTCCTGTAATGCTGAACAGCTGAAAACTAGTACAAGCACCAAATCTTTACTCAGCATGGAGCTTCACCCCATTTCAACATGCCAAGCCATTCTCAGAGCAGCTGTAGCTTACTCTGAGTCTGCCCAGCTACATTAAATTAACACTGGTGTAGCCACATCCACAGCTGAAGCTGCTGCAGGACACTGGAAAAGGCCTAGTTCTTCATGGATCATAGGTGGGTTTGTACCTGCCTTCTACACCAAGTGGCCACTCTTATTCCAGGCACAAACCTGGCAACATCCAGTGGAAGAGTTTGTCTTGTGACAGGTTTTTTTGAGGGGAGGGGAAGGGCTGAAGGAAAGGGGGAATGTAAATGTAATTAAGTTGCATTAATGAGCTGCAGCAATTAATTAAAAAACCAACAAAAACAATGTCAGTTTTGTTAGCTGTGTCTCCCAGCATGTGAAGTGTCAAGCAGAGAAAGAGCACTTGTCAGCCAGCCCTGGCCTTCTTCAGCTGGTACGTTCCAAGTGCTGTTGTAATTGGTTATTGTCTGGTCTAATCTGTTTGAGATTAATTGGCATTTTTTAAGAAATGCCTTTCAGGAGAGTCAAGCTAGAAGGCCATGCTAGGGAGAAGTGTGAGGGAAGAATGAAAAGAAATAAAAACATTAAGTGCTAAATCAAAGACAGAATGATATAGCTTTCTTTGTCCCATTCCAAAGAGCCCAGAAAGCAAAATCCTCTTCTATAAACCCACATGTATAAGCACTAAGAGAACATTTTTTTGTTTCTGTGAGGCTTCTATTCCAGATACTCACTGCAAACTCTCAACCTGAGCTCTGAACAGGTGCAGCTATGAGTAAAGGTTGTCTTCTGTAGGTGTTTTCCTTACAGGACTGAGCAGAACAGACAACTGAGAGTTCCTGGTTTCATAGAATCATAGAATTTAAGGGTTGGAATGGACCTTACAGGACCTCACTACACTACATCAGGTTGCTCAAGGCCTCATCCAGCCTGGCCTTGAACACTGCCAGGGTTGGGGCAGCCACCACATCCCTGGGGAACCTGTGCCAGTGTCTTACCACCCTCACAGGAAAAACCTTTTTTCTCACATCCAACCTAGACTGTCCATCCTTCAGTTTGAAACCATTACCCCTTGTCCTGTCACTGCAGTTCCTAGCACAGAGTCTCACTCCATCTCCTTGTAGGCCCTTCACATATCGAAAAGTTGCTCTGAGATCTCCACAGAGTCTTCTCTTCTCCAGGCTGAGCAGCCCCAACTCCCTCAGCCTGTCCTCATGGGGGAGATGCTTCAGTCCTCGTCGCAACTTTGTGGCCTCCTCTGGACTTGCTCCAACACTTCCATGTCCTTCTTATGTTGAGGACACCAGAACTGTGTGCAGTATTCCAGGTGGGTCTCACCAGAGCAGAGTAGAGGGTAACAATCACCTCTTTTGACCTGCTGCCCACACTTCTTGGGATGCAGCACTTTAATACACACTGCTAAAGATCAATTAAATAAGTGTGATGACTGAGTAGCTTCATAACTACCACACAGTTACCTGTGTTCCTCATAGCATAAAGCAGCAATTAATAAAGTAAAATAAACACTAAGCCTATATTCAGGTAAGCCTATAATGCATAGTATCAATGACTCCCATAAATCATGAAATAAATCTGTCTGAGAAGGAAGAAACTAAGACAAGTTACACCAAGGATCATATTCCACACTTAATTACCTCCTCCAGTTTCATTAGCAGAGCTATTCATCCTTCATACTCTGAAGGTCCTTCCTCCTGGTCTGCTTTGCTAGATCCACTCTAAGTGCCACAAGGTCACACAATGGCCTTGTTCTGTGAGGGCAGGGACTGCCAGTCGGTTCCATCCCCAGTGTGCTGGGAGAGCAAGGAGCAGCTGAAGGTTCTGCTCGAGTGGGTTGCCTTATCTCCAGTTTAGGAGTGCCCTCTGTTGGGGACAGGCATCACTGGAGATGCTACTAGTAAAAAAAACCCAACATGTACCTGTTCCTGAAGGAACATCTTCCCGTAGAAAAAATAAAAAACAACCCAGCTCTTCCCCTCCAGATGTGGAAAAGCCACGATTTTTAAAGTGCTAAATAAAGAATCCCAGAAACATACATTTCCAGTTTTTTTTTTCCTGCTGATGCTTTAGTTCCAGCCACACTGAGCTGAGTTTAGGAGGAAATACTACTATTCCAGCACAGAGCTAGTTTTGTTTTCCCTTGTCAGATTAGCACATCTAGTTAAACTAAGTTTTTGCTGTTACTTACTGAAGCCAAACAAAGCCAGTGACATCTTGAACCCACACAACACCTAATTTGGCACAGTGGTGTCATCCTGTTCCCTATGAAAGCTGCTGTCTGGCAGAGACTCACCAACTCCTCCAAGAGTTGGAGAGTTTAAACTGCTCAACTAGTGATTTCTCTCATCGTTGCCAAGAGCTGCATTAATATTACCTCCAGATTCTGAAGGCAGGGATGAAGATATCTGCCCTCCCAGGTGGTCCTGGGATAACTGACACCTTAAGGTTACTCAGACAAGCTCATAGCCCTGTTCAGTACCCAGAGTGAAGAGAAACAACTCCAGAGCCAGTGCTCCAGCCTCCACAGATGAGCTTAAGGGCCACATACCAAAACTCTGCATGGAGTTCAGATGCAGAATTATTCTCCACTTACAGAGCTTCATGTATCAGGTCCTTATCCTCCTGCATTCTTACCCCTTCTTTTGCAGTTTGGGAGAGTCTGAATGATCCAGATTCTTCCCTGTGAGAGTGTTGAGGCACTGGCACATGTTGCCCAGAGAAGCTGTGGCTGTCCCATCCCTGGAAGTGTTCCAGACCAGGCTGGATGGTGCTTGGAGCAACCTGGCTAGTGGCGGGTGTCCCTGCCCATGGCAGAAGGTTGGAATTGGATGAGCTTTAAGGTCCCTTCCAACCCACACCATTCCATGACTCTATGACCCACATGCTGCCTGATTAATTCCAAAGGAAGCTAAAGGATGGTAAGCAACAGTTGCTTCTCTTTTCCTCATGCCCATGAACTTCTGTCCTTCACTGCTACAAGTGATCTCCAACCTGATGTCACTCTAACATCTTAAGAGGACACCACCATAACCACCACCCCCCAGCAGGGAATTTTACTGGAATCAAATACTCAGACCTTCAAGATAAACAAAAGAAAAATTTTATTCCATGAAAAACAGTTTACTTTTAAAACATATTTCCTTTCCCCTTCAGTTAACAAGCTATGGTATGGACAAAACTTTTTGGCCACTTGATAGAATATCTCATTTAAAATACAAATCAGTTTAGCTAGCAAACAGAAATCCTAAAAAGCTAAGTTTCCATAGCTATCTAATAGTAGGATACTACCCAACAGCCAGGGAAAAGCTCCATAAGAAGCTTCCAGGAGACCCATCTAGTGACCCTGAGCATCAAAGAGCCTTTCACCTGGGGAGGTCAGCTAAGAGTAGAGGTTGGAGAGTCTATTACAGGCCAGGATTTTCCACTTAGTTATGCAAATTTGAGTATTACTGAAACATTTCATCAGTTGTTGAAAATTCAACACAAAGGGGGGAAAAAAAGACAAAGAGCTCAGAAGAGAAAGGTAGATTCTCCCTCCCCCACAACACATTGCTGCTGAGTATTCCAATCTCAACAGAATACATCTTGTATAAAAATACTCCCATTTTCACTCAAACTAACTGAAGTAAGCCATTACCCCTAGCAGAATAGTCTCTAAACAACTGCTAAGTGAGTGAGAAATAACCAGAGACAATCTACTGAAAACAGCCTTTGATTTCAACACAGAGCAAGGATTCATTTGAGAACACAAGAATTCAGAGAAGGAGAATCTCTGGCAACAAAAACCTCTTTTTAGAGGACAAAAGAACCCAGCAGAGTTTTTTCTGGAGCAGTCCTACAGCAAGTTCAGCATGAGTACAGCAAACCAGCAACTCTTACTAGAAGCACTGTGCATAGGAGGCAAGTTTAGTAAGTCTTTACATTTACGCCAAGCCACCCTGCAAACAGGATTGCTCCAGCATCAAACTATTAAGTTATTTTCTTCCTCTGCTGTGTTATCATGAGTTGTATAGTCTTATCTTTCTCCTTAGGCTCACCATGGTTCAGGACATGAAAGTCCTCACACTCCCTTGGATGACTGCTCTGCAGATGGGACACAATCTCAAATTGAGGGCACATTCTCCACAAGCTACCAGGTGGCCACAAGGAACAAACACAACAGACACATCTCTGTCCATGCACACTTTGCACGTCCTTTCCTCTCGCAGGCGGCGGAGCTGTTCTTCTGCGCTCAGCTGAGACTCATCTTTACAAAAAAAAAAAAAAAGGAAAAATAAAAATAGCCCAAACTTAGTATTCTCACAGCTTCAGAGTGCCAGTCCTGACAGCTTAGGAAGTCACACTGCAACTTGCTCATTGTTTTGTTCAGACTGTCAAGATGGCACAAGTGCCTCTCAGGCAAGTTTCATTTAAGCTGAGAAACTACAGCTATTATGAACTCTGTTTATCTACACAAGATCCAGCAGATCTACACATGCTAAGCAGGGACAGAGATCAACCTCTTTTTACTGTAATATGTAAATTATCCTGATAAACCCAAGTTTTTTTCTACCAGCCTCCTTCACAGTGGAACTCTAACTCCTGAACATAAGTCTCTGTTCAGGTGCCACTCAAGCACACACTCCCCCTCAAGATGAAAAGAATTAATTAATACAATGACTACTGATATAATTATTCTAAAACTCATTCCAATAATGGCTAGGCTCAATTCCACCACCAATGTCAGCCCAGTGCACCTGAGTCCTTTTGCTGCACGGATTGTCTTTCTTCTCTTGATGTTCCAGTCGCTCTCTCAACAGCATCTGTGTAACCAGGAAAGAAAATGGTATTAAATGCTAGCCCTTTCCTCCCTCTTCAGACAGTGCTGTATGAAGAGATGAAACATCCTGTATCTCAGAAGCCTTTGGTTAAAGACTTCTTTACTCTGCTGTTAGCTGCACACAGACTGGTGAAGGTGGTGTCCTCTGGTGCTTCAGTCACTGTGTAAGTAAACCTCCCTACTAAGGCATGTCCTCACCACATTCTCTCCTCAAAGTCAGTTTATCTATC